AACAATTTATTTGAAATTGGATTTATCATATAGTGAAACTTTTCGTCTTCAGTAAGAAACTCGATATTTTTCTTTGTAATAATATTTATCTTTTCAAATATTTCTTTTCTCTTTGTGGAGAAAAAGGAACATCTGAGAAGAAAATGTTTCTCATCTTCACTTTCATTTTTGCAGAGAGGACATATTCTCTCTTCTGGTTTGACATATGGGCGTGAATACCTCCCTCTTTCAATTTCTAAAGAATGATTACTAATTCTAAGTTTAGTAAGTGCTATTCTATGTTTGATATTGCTGACTTCTTTGAGATAACTTTCCTGTTGGTAGGTTATTTTAAAAGTTCTATAAGTTCTAAGTTTGTTTCTTTGAGTGTCTTTTCTACCCATATCATCATGAATCTCCCCTAACCATGTTTGTATTTCAATGTCCTCTAATCTCTGTTTTATTTGTTTTGCTAGTATTTTCCCTTTCATTTTGTCAAAATTTTGTTGCCATACAAAGCTGTAGCCTAATTTGTTTAAAATTTGTTTGACTTTCCCGCTCCAGCATGAATCTGGAGTGTTGTCAACAGCACAGTCTTGTAACGTTAGGTATGATAACTTTATTTTATCAGAAGTAACGAAATTAATCCAAAACTTTATCACTCTTAATCTGGCACTTACTCTTAAGGGAAATAGTCCCAGTTCTGATCTGCACGCGTTGTTTGATGCCCGTTTATTGACTCCTAGTAACATTTTGCAAAACTTTATATGCACAGCTTCTGCGGGGTCGTTTTTGATGTTATCTTTGATATCAGCACCCCACACCTCACTTCCATATAGTAGGATAGGTTTGATTAGAGAGTTAAATAATTTAATGGTTAGATATATGTCTGTCCTAAAGTGATCTCCGAGATCTCTTCTAAGCTTAAACAAAGCTTTTAACGCTATCTTCTTTAGTTCTTCTCTTGCATTGCTAAAGGTTCCAAAAGCGCTAAAGTATAGTCCTAGATATTTATAGCTTTTCACATTTTCAAGTTTAGCATTTTTAAGATAAAATTCAAAATTACTCATTCTTTTGCCAGTGTTATTAAAGACCATGACTTTAGTTTTTTCCAGATTAGTGTATATTTTTGATACTTCGCAAAAGTATTGCAGTCTGTTTAATTGATGTTGGAGACCCGTTTTCGTTTGCGATATTAACACTAAATCATCAGCGTACAAAAGTCCTTTTATTCTATAATTATTTGCCACTGTTAGATAAGACGCATCATCATTGAGAACTTCGGGTAAATCGTATAGCAAATATATGGGATTCCCCCCCTCCCCCCGGGATTGCACAGTCATTGTTTTTGAATCATTGCATGACATTACTCAGTCTCATATTGCCTTGAGAGTACTAACTGTTTTGCTGCGATTTATCACTGCACAGGGTCCTCGTTTTTTTCTACATCTCTATTTAAATTTAACTTACAATTACTGATTTTGAGACTTTATGTATGGGATAAATATTTGCAAAGAAAACTAGTTTTAAAAATTGTGCATTTTGTGTTTTCTACCTTTCCTGAACCATAATCCAATTCTATTTTTAAATACAATATAACATGTTTTGAGTAATATTTAGATTGATTGTTTTCTGCTCAACTTGCATTTATTGACACATTGTTTGCAATACACTTGTGAATTACCTTCCTTACATTTCTGCTTTTATTCAAAATACGTTAAAGTCCTCATGAAGCGATTTTTTTGTTTGAAAAATAGAGTCAATAAAACAAGAATAACATCTTGGCTAATTACTACTGGATACAGGCTTTATAAATTTCAGAGAAAATTTGAGTTAAAAAATCCGAGCATGCGCAGTGCGTTTCTCCTCAGTGACGGCTGTTGTAAAAGACCAGACCCTGATTTCAAGGTTGACTCGTGCCTTGACAATGAGTTGGCAAGAGTCTTTGAGTGAATAATTGAACTAGTGATGAACAGCAAAAACGTAGATGATATAGTTGCCATTTAACCAATTTTATCTGCTGAAGCTGTATACAATTTTTCATAAATGTAACAAAATCAGATGGTTGTAAGACTTGCAATTGATCATTGTTTTTTACCAAACCAAAACACATTTAGAGTCAGAAAAATGATACATTTCTTACAACGCATATGGCCATAATGGGTCCTACAAAAAAGTACAAGCAACGACCAATGAGAAAATCGACCATCCATTTTTCTCAAGCTGTCATGTCCGGCAGCCGGACAAGGTTGTGATGTGATTCAGTATCCGGCAGTCGAAAATATTCCTAAATTTGAACTTATTCCGGTGGTTCAGTGGTTACCATAAAAACGAAAGCTGAAACCATTTCTTTGCATAAGGATGATGATCAGTGACGTACCCTCTTTGGAATGAAAAACCAAATATTTTTTAGCATAATTAGTTGTTCACGTTTTACGACATTTGAATTTATTTCATCATAGTCATATATTATTTATGTATCATTTTTTTTTACTGTAAACAGTGCTATCGAATATTTATAGTGAGGGCGCTGTATAAATTGATTTATTATTATTATTCCCGGAAAAGACGAGTGCTTTATATAAATTCTAATAGAAATAATATACAAATCCTGACAATTTGTACCGCAACATCAATGCATGCTATATGCCTGGTACTGGTTAATAACAATAAAGTCCAAGACTGAAACGAGAAGACCGATTCAGAGGAAGTCAAAGAAAGTCAATTCAGAATTCAATCAGTTGAAGTGATTATGCAGTGCCGCTTTCAATTTGGACTCATTAATTCTTTTACTTTTGTATCCATATAAGGCGTTTTTGTAAATTTAGTACCCAAAAATAATCGTATGCTTATGCACGTGTATTACTTTGGAAATTCTCGTCTTCAGAAGTAGCTCAAAAGCGCGTTGGCCTTGAAAAGCGATAATTTTGGAGCTGTAGAGAAAATGTCCAGCATTATAATGGAGGCAAAAACTCTCAAATTTCAGTTGTTTTTATCTGCTATTCTCTTGAATACGATATTTCTTTGTACTGCGCCCACACAAGGAACAAGTAAGTCTGATAAACATCTCAGGAAGAAGAAAATCATAAACTCATATCAGTCTACAAAAACGTTGTGTTAGAGAAACTCAGTTATAAATTCAGTGAGATAAACAAGGACAAATCCCCATCTGGCATTGTGTTCATGCGCCAGTGAGTTCTAAGTTTTTTTTCTGGGAAGGCTGCTTAGGTAAGGCTACTTTTAGGTTTCCAAAATACAGAAATATAGGGAAAACATCTAAAGCAGCGTTCATTTGACAGGAATTTTATTTTCCGCGTACTCTAAATCTATCTTTTTTTATCTTGAGTCACAGTGATTGCTCCATTTATAACATCCATAAGCCGTTCACAGTTGAGGATACCTATTTTCCGAGTCAGGATTTGAGTTAGGATTCGAGTTAGGATTCGAGTTTTAGGATTCGAGTTTTAGGATTCGAGTTTTAGGATTCGAGTTTTAGGATTCGAGTTTTAGGATTTGTGGAATGCAGTCTCCGGGATCTCTTGAGAGTATTCAGATGAATAATTTGAGTTTTCATGCGTTTAAAACTCGAAAAAATATAAATTACAAAGAATGTATGGAGGTTTTGAGCAGCGACCCCAAAAAACATACATTCTCTTATTTTTACAAATTTGAAAAAAATCCTATTCGGTGAGTATTAAACCAAATATGCTCAAACTTGACAAGAACACTTATTTAGTGTGGTCTTTCCTGTGGTGAGGTTCAGTTTTCGATGAATGTAATATTTTCACACTCGTTCCCAGTCTCCTTTTGAATTTCGGAATGGCCAATTCTCAGGCCGATAGATAGCTATTTCAAAAAAGGTTGTCAGACAAAATGGCGAATGTCAATGGTCGAACGGCGATTGCACGACCCAAAGTAGCCTTGGGTTTTGCTAGTTGAAAGACAATAACAGGTGATTTATACTTTCAGATTGTCTGTGGAAAGCATTGTCTCCATTACCTCCATCTAGTTTCCATTTCAATGTAATGTGAACCCAATATAGGTGAAATTTTGTTTATCAAAACAGTGTAACCATAGTCCGTTTTGGTCGTTCAATCTCCCTTCGACAATCGTTGTTCACCGTTTTCCCTGACAACATTTTTTGAAATAGCTGTATGCTCATAGTGTCCAAATGTACCATACATGTAACAGATTGCCATTCGAAACGTGGAAATCTCAATGAAACCAATCCAAAAAATTAGAATTTTACAAACTATTCAAACATGGATATGAATCTAACTATCTAGATATCATACGCAATTTTGATCAAAGACACCAATTATGCAAACTCAGAATCAGTAACCACGAACTTGCAATAGATACAGGGCATTATAGNTAGCTATTTCAAAAAAGGTTGTCAGACAAAATGGCGAATGTCAATGGTCGAACGGCGATTGCACGACCGAAAGTAGCCTTGGGTTTTGCTAGTTGAAAGACAATAACAGGTGATTTATACTTTCAGATTGTCTGTGGAAAGCATTGTCTCCATTACCTCCATTTAGTCTCCATTTCAATGTAATGTGAACCCAATAGGTGAAATTTTCTTTATCAAAACAGTGTAACCATAGTCCGTTTTGGTCGTTCAATCTCCCTTCGACAATCGTTGTTCACCGTTTTCCCTGACAACATTTTTTGAAATAGCTGTATGCTCATAGTGTCCAAATGTACCATACATGTAACAGATTGCCACGACAAAATGGAAACATTTTATTTCGAAACGTGGAAATCTCAATGAAACCAATCCAAAAAATTAGAATTTTACAAACTATTCAAACATGGATATGAATCTAACTATCTAGATATCATACGCAATTTTGATCAAAGACACCAATTATGCAAACTCAGAATCAGTAACCACGAACTTGCAATAGATACAGGGCATTATAGTAAAGAGAAAATAGATGCATGTCAACGTATCTGTCTATTATGCTCAAAACATGCAGTAGAAACAGAACTGCACTTTATTTTCTCTTGCCCTTTATAGTAACCAATTAAGGCAAGAATTTTACAGCCGAATAAATAACGAAATACAAATATTAATACAAATAATGACAATGAATTCACTGATACTCATGAATTCTAGTAAAATTGTTACTGTTAGTTTTTCAAAATATATTATTATTTAAAATCATTGAAATTGAATCATTTCAAAAATAATTATAATTAGATTACTCAAGTATATTTTATCATTTATAAGAAAAAATTATTGGAATTTGTATACTTTATATAATAGACATATAAAAGGTGGGGGGTCACGTGACCACACCTACCTTGAATCAATCAGCTATCAAAAATGATGTTCAGAAATGGAAAGAGCAGGTTTATGTTCGTAAAATGTCAAAGTCTCAAGTCTAAATACTCCAAAAATGGCAACAAATGTAAAAATATTTTTCTAAAGAAACGTATGGGAAAATAGTACTGGAGAGCAAGCCTCTAGAAAAAAAATGTTATATTTGCTATCAATTTTGAAGTGTTTAGTGTTGAGACTTGATACTTTGTCTTCTTAACTATTTTGCTCTCCTCTTTCCATTTCTGGACATTATTTTTTGATAGCTGATTGATTTAAGGTAGGTGTGGTCACGTGACCCCCAGCTGCAAAGGGCCTATTACAGTAATTAGTCTGATTTATACAATTACAATGTAACATGTCATTTCTTTTAAATATATATTTTTTCTTTTTATACTTTTTTATAATATACGTTATTATTGAAAGTGTTCTTCTTTCCGAAAGAAATGCACGTCTGGTACGTATTTATGCTCTTCTATGAGAGACCAGATGATATCTGTTGATGTTTTAATTAGAAACAAGCATTGCTGGTTCTGGCAGTCTTACATTTTGATAGTTTTTATGATAGTTAAATTATGATTTTTATGATAGTTATTTTGATTTCAAAATTATTAAACTTTGTGTGCTTTTAATGAATAAAAAAATTAAATACTTGTTAAATTATTATTACTTATTGAATTATTACTTATTAAATCGAATCCCAAAACTCGAATCCCAAAACTCGAATGCCAAAACTCGAATCCTAACTCGAATCCTAACTCGAATCCTAACTCTGCTGCTAGTTTGTATATAGTGTTTACGCAACCAGCCCATGCATCATTCTGACTGATGTTGATGCTTGAGCTAGCCCGTCGAATGAGCGGTGTATGGTGACATCTTCGAGAAAAAAAAAAGAATACAAGATACAAACGAGTTTCTTATGTTCTAAAATTCACCATTTCGTAATAACATTGATTTTCAAGTAACTTTAAGTCTTGTTTACCCTAGTAATTTTGTCACGCGACATAATGATTTTTTAAACCCTGACCTTATTCAAAACAGGAAAATCGTGAAATTCCATACACTATTTAAGACAAATTGGTAAAATATAGAACCTATCCAAGCAAATAGCTCTTTATATGAGCGACATGGATTTGCGATAAAATAATCGCAAAAATGGAAGCTTGAATTTTCGCACGATAAAATTGCCGTTGCTGTAAACGGGCCTTTTTAAAAACTTCTTCAAGACGTCATCGCAACAAATTTTAATTAAAAGTCCTGTTAAAAATTATGATATTTGCTTACAGCAGTGGTCGCGCTATTACTCCCAATTTAATTCGCATAATTGCAAAATAACTATAAAAGTATGATATCCTAAGCAACCCTACTAGTAATCCTAAAAAATTGCAAAATTACAGAGATATTTTGAGCTATTTTACTTCACAACCTACACAGGAAGCCGAATTAAGGAGCTTAAAGTTTAGGGTTGATGGGTTAATGATGAGTAATGAGTGCGAAAAAAACTTATAACGAAATATTTCAAAAAAGGACAAATTTCTGTTTGAATCCAGACGTTTGAATCCAGACGGTGGTCAGGTTGACCACTGTCTGGATTTCCGATCCGCCATACATTTTTACCAAATTTTGCGTATCTTCGATTGCTAATGATTCCGCAACCAAGTGCTCTACAATCCTACATTTTTTGTCTAACGATGAAGTTTTTTATTCTCTAAAAGGACATGAATGCCATGTCTTAATGCGAGTAAAATAAAAATTGTGATGACGTTACTGCAACCAAAAAATTTTTTTCCCTGGTTTGACCTGGTTTGATACAACAGATGTTACCGTTATCAAGAAGTGAAACAGGGACGTTCTATACTCGCATCGTGTTAACAAATCGCTACATTTGTCCTGCCTTACTGTCCTAACACATGCACACATGTATATGCGCCCTGTTCGCTAAAGTTCAAGCTCATTTTATTTTATTCTCGGTATACACTAACTTAAGAGACTAGCTAGAACTAATGTTCCTATGATTTTAGGTTGTGAGGATACATCTATTGGTATTGAGGCCAGAGGTATCATTCCAGATAGTAGCTTCACTGCATCGTCCACATATGATTACAGATACAAGCCATATTTTGCGAGAATCGGTGACACCCGTGGACATGGGTGGGATCAAGGTGACCCACAGAATGACAACTACCAATATCTACAAATTGATCTTGGATTTGATTACTTTGTGTGCGCCATTGCTACAAAGGCAGGCAGGATCGGAGGATGGGGAGAATATGTTAAAACTTACAAGATAACCATGTCAAATGACAAACAAAAGTGGACACCTTACAAAGAGGATGGTAGAGATAAGGTAAGCTATCAGAAGTTCATAATGGGATTAAAACCTGTAACCACTCAGGCCCGTAGGCTTAGGGGGTTCGGGGGGTTCGCATGATCCCCCCACAAACTAAAAGATCCGGTATGTTTCTCTTTTTCTAAATGTTCTATTTTATTTTATTTTTATACGAGTTGTTTTTGAGATAGTATTTTGTTATGAACTTCTCATTCTAGCAGCCAGTTCTTACACACTATACCTGTGCATTGAACTAATTTTGTTAAACATTTGATGTAGGTGCGCATTACCAATAAACTAACCCCCACATTTGTAAGGTAAACTACAGACCTGCCACTGCAGTATACTTAGAAACATTCAGAATTAATTTTGCATATTTTTGATACCTTATTTGGTTGTGACGTCTCTCTGATTGGCACAATGAACATTACAAATCAGAACTATTGTTGTTGTTTTTTTGGTCAACGGACAAGTCAAAAAAAGAAAATGGAACACAAGCCCTTATAGAGAAACGGATGACTTGATTCAAATTTGTTGGGAGGTAGTGGGGGTACGGTGAGTGTAGAAATATTTTGTTTAC